AGAATCATCCACGAAAGCTATACATTTTCTTCACAGCCTCGCTAAAGTTTACCACTGTTTAGAGTGTAAAATTTGAAACTCTTAACAGTGCTTAGTGAAATAAACCTGCTTACCAGGGATATTACTCCTCTTATTAGAATGGTATTTTGTTTCAATAAGGATTTGTAATATTCAAAATAAATTTTGTTAGACATCATGATACTAAACCGTAAATGATAGTTTAATAAGCAAAAACTTATTTTGCATATTATTATGTTTAAACTACGTTAACATAGACACATACACGTGGGGTATTTTGCATATCAAATATTTGACAGTAAGTTGCCGTTTTGTATATTAACTACAATCAAAATGTAGTATGTATTCGATTAGTGGTTGGATTACAAGTGCTCACTGTTGACGGGTCACATGCTAGCACGAAAAAGTCATCCAGTACCGTTTGATTTTCAGTGGTACCCTGACTGAGATCAACTTCTAAAGAATGTGACCAACATACAAGGTCAGTCTCTATAGAACTCCTTCTTCTTAAGTACAAAAGTCAACTCACTAGTTACTTACTTCACAGTATTTCTCAAATTCAAATGAGAAACCTTGATTTATTAGGTTCAAAAATTGCCGAAGGAAACCAGTGGTCACAAATAAAACTGAATAACTATTAATCTATATTGCGAATCCTTGCAGTTAAAGTTGTATCCCTGATCATTAACCTAATGGTTATAAGTTATTCACGATACCTAAAGGTCGCCGGTTGAATCCATAGTGAGGCATAGAATCCACATTGTTGAGAAGCTTCATTTTAGAAGGATGCCAAATTTCTCATCACTTTATTTATTCAGCTCATTGAATATCACATCACCAATAACATTTTTATGCAAAACAAATCTTCATAAGTTAAGTCATTTTATTACTGTACATCAGAGATTTGTGATCTTAGCAATAAAATATGTTATTTTATTGGAAAGATTTTCTGCAGACTGTTCTAATTTGAAGGCGCTAGTTACCATTGATGAGATATGAATGAAGTAAATCAGGGAACACTGGACAGCTGTTTTCTTTCAACTATGTAGTCTCTCAGCAGTGCTCTACCAGGAACTGAATTCAGAAACTGCCAAATCTCACCAATAGATCATTCAGTAGTATGTATATTTCCGAGTTCCGTACAAAGTTTTCTTCCATGGACAATAATGTATTTGTAACGACATAATTCACAAACGATATCATATTACACATTTGAAATCATCAATCAATCATTGTTAAACCACCATTAGAAACCTGGAAGCACTGGACGGCCGTCAAGTCCTGGTATGAGACTCATCATCAGCGCGCATCCACGACTCCTGCTCCTCGCAGGATTCGAAACCGAGACCTTTGGCATTGTAGGCTAACGCCTTACCATCGGACCACTGGGCAGGCATCCAGTGGTGTTAATGTCTAACCCTGATTGATCTAGGGATTTTGCGCGACCTCATCCATTTGTCTTTGGTAGTTATGCCTACACCCGACAGGGTTGAACTCCATTGGTCACATCTCAACCAGAACTCCGAGAATTTCCTCATGAAGCTAGTCACTAGTGAGCACTGTTACTATATTTTGGGGCAGAGTTTTGGAGGTATGTGTTTTTACACATTTGAAATCCCGAGTTCGAATCCTGCGAGGTGCAGGAGTCATGGATGCGCACTGCTGATGAGTCCCATGCCAGGACAAAACGGCCGTCCAGTGCTTCCAGGTTTCTAACAATGATTGATTGATGATTTCAAATGTGTAAAAACGCAAACCTCCAAAACTGTGCCCCAAAATATCATATTACCTTATATTCGAAACAATAATTTATAAAACAGTGTTGATAAGCTAAATAGTCTGATAATAGTTATGGTAGAGTAAGAAGACCCCCTCACTCTATTGTAACCTATGTCGATGGCCATGGGAAGAAATGGGTTGTTACGCATCACCTGTATGAGCCTATGGGTTGGATACGTAAGCATAGATGTATGTAAATGTGGGGGACGTTAGATCCACAGAACTCACTTGATAAAGGTCCTAATTTTGGATTTTGTGTTTTCGAGCATAGGCTAATCAGTTGACCTTGAGATTACATTTCCCACTGTGAAAATCCTTGACTGTTATTGGTCGATGTATTATTTTAGTACGCTGTTTTTGCGGCTCTCCCAAGGACGCTTCTATCATGTATAAATGAACTCGATTTATGTACTTGTGGACCTCATATTTTCCGGGTGCTTGTAGAATACACTTTTTACGCCATATCAAGACTTCTTCCTCTACTTAGTGGGTCCTTGGGACAGTCGGATTAGAGCAGCCTATCGTATCACTGCATCATTTGTCTTCGCTCTCGTTTACTGACTAAAGTGAATTCGCATTACGGGGTTGTGAAGATTGTTATGTTACACATTTTTGAAACCATGTATCGATCAATGTTAGACCACCATTAGAAACCTGGAAGCACTGGATGGCCGTTTCTTCCTGATATGGGACTCCAGGTTTCTAATGGTGATCTAACATTGATCGATACATGGTTTCGAAATAAAACTAAACAATCTTCACAACCCCGTAATGCAAATTACCTGTGCTCACTAGTGACTAGCTTCGTGAGGAATCTTCTCCGAGTTCTAGTGGGAAGACGTGACCAGTGAAGTCCAACCTGTTCGGGTGTAGGCAGTGTCTACCGAAGACTGTGTATGAGGTTGTGCAACTCCGTGAATTCGATCAAGTTAGACATTAACACCGTTGGTTACCGACTCAGTGGTCTGACGGTTAGGTCGTTCGCGCACAGTACCGAAGGTCCTGGGTTCGAATCCTGCGTGGTGCAGGAGTCGTGGATGCACACTGCTGTAAAGTGAATTCGTAATAGCTTCAAGCATATCACTTGATGAGCATAACTGTAAATCATGTAATGAATTTTCTGAAACCTGATATACTACAAGTTTTATTTAAAATTATTGAATATCTTATATATGTTAAGCGATTAAGAAAAAATTCTCCTCATCAACTCTTAAGCATCTTCTACTTAACAAATCCGGTTGACTTTCAAAAATTTAGTTACATTGTTATTTATTTAAAAAGATTTTGAGATTGAAAACAGATTTCATTGGATAAAATATCTTTGTTTTATCTTTGTTTTCATGACATTGGTCATGATTTAGTGACAACTCAGCATAAGACTCAGTCTTATATTAGTTCAGCCATGATCTGAATAGTATTTCACTTGTGAAGTTGGGTTACATGGGTTCAAATCTGCACGAGGAGCATCAGTCCCCGGCTGAGTGTAGTCATATCTAACACTAATGAATACTAACCAGCACAAAACCGAGACCACTTAGCATCTCTCCTAACGACTACCTGTAACTATTGTTTTTATATCTACTGAATGTAAATGCTGATTTCATTGTTTTAATTAATCATGCCTTAATTATTCCGTTTTTGTTTTGCAGAGGATTTCAGAGGACAATGAGCATTGAGTATAAACAATTGATTTGTTCTCTAATGTCAAATATCTTTTCCTCATTTCTAAACTAGAGTTGCCTATTCAATTCATTAGAAGAACCTCATAACTCCTATATATCGTCTAAAATGAACCATACATTTCTACATTTTGATAAATAGCTATGTGTGCGTACTGCAAGGTGTACATACATGATGTATGATGTGTATGATGATGTGTACATACGTGTGTCGCTTTTACGTTTACATTTTTAATAGAATTATGGTTGATCAAGAAGTAACTAACCTTTACAAAAAAAATATTCACCAATCTATGTATCTATATTTCGTTGGGTGGGGGTGGGGTGGGTGGTGAGGGGAGAGATTTAGTCTATCCACAAACACACATACACACTCTCTCTCTTTAATATTTATCCCATTAGCTATTCGTACGTACATTGATATACACACAGGATTATTATGATTACTAATCATAGGTCATCACTCCATCCACACACAAACACACGCACACACACACACACGCTTCAAGTATAAATAATAACTAACAATACAGGAAGAAAATTTTTTTTTTAATGATTGTGGTCTACTATCTCAAGCACAAACACAAATAACACAACAATTCTATAGGCAATTTTTTTTTCACTAATTGATTAACGTACTGTATATGTATACAAATGAGACTATGTTGATGCAGGTGAAAATGTTGCTTCTATTATCCATTAAAAAAATAGAAAAAATGTCTATTCAATAACATTCCATACAAACAAACGTACATGTTATAACAAACAGTTCATTGATAGACACACATACACATACGCACAAACACACATTCACAAACACACACACACATTGATGTGTACATACATAAAAAAAAGAGATCTGGCACCAAAATTCATTCTATTTGCAAGTGCACACATATGTAGATAATAGACACTCATTCATGGAGGAGCATCAGAATCTGTTTACATTAATGCCAACCAACACATGAACTTTGTTAAAAACATAATCATCATTTGTTTTATTACGGTTCTGTATTCACATTACTATTATGATTATGAATATTATTAGTCAACCAATCAAATTGTAAACTACGGAAAAAAAATATTTCAAAACTGACTCATTAAAACAAAGGGCATTTTTTTTCGATGAAATACACATTTCTATTTTGCAGTGTTTGTTCAACGTTCAATATCCCATTTTTTTCTATTTCTTAATTTTCATTATGAGAAATCAAATATTAGAATATTCCTATAAGATTTGAATAAACAAACCTCTTGATTGATCAAAATTCAATTTTTTTGGATATATATATATATAAAAATTAAATTTGATTATTTTCAATGAATTGAACAATGAATAAGTGTGGGTTAATCATTGTTGGATATTTAATTACGTTATTTTTTTTCCTGAAAGTTTGACAAACATTATCACTACTACTACTTATACTACTCAAAAGGATCAAATATTAGTAGTAATTAATGCATACAACAGCTAAAATTGTATAACTGATATCATTTTCAAAAAAAAAAAAGAAAATGGATTTTGTAATTTTAAAAGTAAGTTTTGAATTAGATTTTTTTTCGTTGTTAAATGAAATGATAATTTAATTATGTCTCTATATACTACTGGTATGTCATACAATGATGCTTGATATATATAGTTTTACTTATAGTAATAGTAATAATAATAAACGGCCATCCAATGCTTCCATGTTTCTAATGATGGTCTAACAAGAACTGCTTTCATACTCTCAATGATAATAAACCAGTAGTTCTAACTGAAGTTTGTGCTGATGATGGATGATGTCACAACCACAAACATTCAGCTCAGAGAATCAAACTCTAATCATAAACAGTTTGAATTGACAAAAACTTATTACATGACTTCAATAAAGTTTTAATGTAATGGGGAAAAAAGATAATTTCTATTAATGTGTATAAGTTTATCCGATATGATACCTGAAAGTCGTTATTGAAAAAATAGCCTATAAATAATAATACTTTAACATATAAAATAAGTCACAGGCAACTTTTGACTTATCAACTGTATACTATCGAAGAAATTGATGCCAGAGCAGTGATCCAGAGGTTAGGCGTTCGCGTGCAAGACCGAAAGGCCCTGGATTCGAATCCAGTGAAGTGCAGAAGTCATGGATGTGCACTGCTGATGATTCCCATACCAGGATGAAACGGCCGTCTAGTGCTTCTAGGTTTCTAATGATGGTCTAACATTGATCGATGAATGATTTAAAAATATCATAGAATTCAAATTTCAATGAAATCACTAACCGAATCTAGTTAAACAATCTGGATGCACTAAATAGCCATTTTATCTGATTATTGAACTCCTTGGTAGTGGGAATCGGACTCGGAACCCTCGATTCTGTATGTGAACACACAGAACAAGGGATCATTGAGCCGAGATCTATTAGTGTGCAAGCTTAAGTTCAATCAGTCTCGTTGATATTGCATAAGCATCTTCTTCTGTTGCCTTCAGTGAGTACCTTCCTCATACACTAACAATGATTGATTGATTGAGTGAGTGAGTGATGATTTCAATGTGTAGATAAACACTGATCTCCATAATTGTAATTGAAAAATGACCATTTTGAGTGATAACAATAATAATTTATAAATCTTTACGAATGAAAATTTAGTGATGATTATTGGTTAATAATATTCAAAACACACTGACTCATTTAATAGTGATCGATCAAAAAGCGATCATTTCATAACTTATAAATTAAGATTGAGTTATGTTCATTCATTCAATGCTTTTTCTAACATTCACTGATGAGTTTTTAATTTTCGGTCAGAGTTTTGGAGGTTAGTGTTTTTACACATTTGAAATCATCAATCAGTCAATCAATCATTGTTAGACCAACATTAGAAACCTTGACCAATGGAGTTCAGCCCTGTCGTGTGTAGGAGTTAACTACCAAAGACAAATGGGTGAGGTCGCGCAAAATCACTGGTAGATCAATCAGAGTTAGACATTAACACCGTTGGATGACAGCCAGCTCAGTGGTCCAGAGGTTAGGCGATCGCGCACATTACCAGAGGTCCCGGGTTCGAATCCCGCGAGGTGCAGGAGTCGTGGATGCTCACTGCTGATGAGTTCTTAATTATTGGAAATCAGTGTACTGAAATAGATGTGCCTAGTAAACTCATTCAACAATTTGTCTTATCAAAATTACTGAATACATGGTATAATATTAGGATTGAGAGAAAATTATTTGAGAGCTTATGATCAACCCTAATAATGTTTCTTACTAAATATTGTATTAATGCGATCTTAGAATACACTACTAATGATACTGATCTCATCAGCTAACGGTAGAATTTTAAGGTGGCTCTTTATCATCATTTAACAACAGAACGACTCATTTCTATGTCTTGCTCCACCATACTAAGCTTCGATGTATTGAAATAAAATTTGAATTTTGACTTGGAAGAAGTTTCTCATCGTTGAGTTTCTCGATATGATAACAGTCATGAAGTGTGTGTGTGTGTGACTTATAAACCGCAGTTTTTTGTTCACTCAGTCTACTGAAACTTACACTGATTAAAAATTATCAATAGAAACTTGAACAGAATCCAATAAAAATGATATGGTTACGAAGTTTTTCTAAAAGTTTGAATTCATCTAAATAAACTTATGAACATAGATGATTTGTCAAAAGACCACATTATTATTCAAACACAATGATTCAATTCTATGCTTTTATCATTGAGATAGATATAAAGAACAAATTCACTTTGGGTGTTGTAACACATTGACAACTTTCATTAACCTAACTAGAATGCTTAATTATCTTGTGTAGATTTGTTTTGATCAATACAATAATTCTTAATGAAAATGAATTAGGATTTTATGAACAAATTTTTTGAAAGTTTTTACCAATTAATTTAATGGTTCAGTTAAAGTAATTATTGAACATAAGTTACATCAATTTATTAAGTATCATTGGTCATAATAATCATAGTTTACAAGAATAATCTACAATGCATACTTGTTTAGAGTAGGAACTTTTTTTAAGTAAAAACAGTATATCAGACTGTTAAATTACGATTCCTTGGGGTACAAAAATTAATTTATGATTATTTGTAATAATTTTTTGAAACTATAAATCGATCATTGTTAGAACATCGTTAGAAACTTGGAAGCACTGGATGGCTGTCAAGTCCTTGTATGGGACTCATCAGTGGCAGTGCGCATCCACGACTCCTGCCGCTCACAGGATTTGAACCCGGGACCTTCGGTATTGTGCGTGAACGCCTAACCTTTGGACCACTGGGCCGGCATCCAACGGTAATATGTGGTAGAACAAAAAATTGTGTGACATTTCATACATCATTTTGAACGGACTAAAGGCAAAAATCAAGGATTCAAATGCTTAGGTTTCATGTTGGCAGTTGTCGACTACCTGGTTGGGGTCCGCGAGACGAAAGTCACCAATGGTTAGAGACCTTGAACGACATGGCTCAGAATCGTTTGCAATGGCGCAGGTGCATCCACTCTTTGTGTTCTCCCTAATTCTAACCTTCTGAATTCCTCATAATCACTATCTTTCTCTTTAGAAATTTATCTCACTGAATTATACTTCTCGAATCATATCTTCGCTCCCTAATCTTCTCCACTGCTGCTAATAATTCTACTATCGCTTACATTCTTGGATTTGAACTTAGAGTTGCGTCTCTGAGCTGACGTGATATCGCAACCTGAACTGATGCATGATGTTCTGCATTGTATCTGTCCGTCTGTCTGTTATTTGATATTTATCAATAAGATGTATTTGTTATCATCAGAGATTGAGTGATCTCCGTCTGAAGTAATTTCACCACTGAGTTATTCCCACCATGATGGACCCCTTTTCGAAGAGTACAAATAGTTTATTTATCTACTCCTTCATATGGATTGAATTTTCATTTAACAAATTTGTAACAATTAGCATGCAACACAGTATACAACGTACAACCTTTTATTTTTTTTGGAGAAGTTTCTCATCCAGAGTCTATAGCCACAAAATAGTTTGTAGATAAAATACTTTCCTTCTACATTTACACTCATAAGTATCGAAACAAGATTACGATAGCTTACTATAACCTGCATAAATCAATTCACATTTGAATGAAATTGAAGTTAAACAAAATTCCACTTCTACTTTTAAACTACTGACATTCATGAAACATGTGAATGATTATTCCATGTTTAAACCAAAAATCATCTTCGAATTTTTCATCTATGAAAGTAAAAAAAAGGATAGTTTATAATGGTTCATGTAAGTATGCTGGTCAGAATGAACGAATTTATCTTTACAAATAAAATTTATACTCATTAAACGAGCTGTTTTTTTGTCCGAACTCATCAGCTAAATAAATAACAAATTCTGTTCGAAAATTTTATTTGACTAAACGAGGAGAATTTCGTAGTAAGCTAATACAGGGACATGTCGTACTGTGGTGTGAGCTACTTATAAGTAGTATATGACGTGAGCGTCAACGTGATGTCTGGCAGCAGAAGATGGGGGGAAGATCAAGAAAGGAAGAGTTAGAAAACAATGGAGTTTGTATGAAACGCATGAACAGTGAAATGTCAGACAATGGATTGATGTTTTGCAACAGGAACAGTCCAGTTCGATATGATGAACTGATATTTTGCAAATTAACGATTTACGATATGGTTTTCCAATTTTACTTAGTAACTCTGTAATTTTCGTTAAATACAATTCGGTTGCCCCACCTGTGTTCTCGTTCACTACAGTACGATCAATCAACTAGGCGTCTATTTATTATTTTTATTGATGAAATTCAAAATACAAAATGTTCATTGTTCAATATTGTAAGATGATAGTTGAATAGCGGGTCTAATGAAGAGATGTTGCTATATGACTGATCAGAGTACCTAATTACCGCAATTCAATTAAATGTTTGTCGCACATCTTCAATTGAAGCACGTCAGTATTAGGATATGATATTCATTCTATCAATGTATATATTAGTGTATTTTATAGACATGTAATTTTGACTTGGTAATCTTCAAATATACTGAATGTGAAATATACCTAAAACGCACATTTCGATCAAAAAAGCATTTTTTTTTCTAGAAAATATTTTTTGGACATGTGTTACGTATGCCTAACCACCGACTGTCTCTTCGAGCTATGTTTTGCGATGTAGGAATAAGTTGGAAGAAAGCTAGGGGCGGCCAAACCGAAACATGGCAGAAATCCATGAAGTCACTGACAAGTTAACTGAGTCATATCTGTAGGTTTCAACCACCTGGTTGGGTTCCGCGAAATGATAGTAATCGATGGTTAGATTTTTTGAATGACATTGCTCAAAACCATTTGAAATGACCCAGGTGCATTCATTGCTTGTGGTCTCGCAAATCATAACCTTCTGAATTCCTCATCACCTTTATCTTTTTCTTTTTAAGTTTATTTCACTAGATTCTACTACTTCAATAATATCTTCGATCTCCAGTATTCTTCATTACTGCTAATGCTTCTACTATCGCTACCCCTATTGGATTTCAGCTGACCATTGCATCTCTG